CTGCTTTGAACCGCAAACCTGCAACCACAGGCCCTCCAAACCGGAGACCTCAGAACCCCTCTAAATCCTTAGCGTAGGGTTTAGGGTTTAGGGTTTAGGGTTTAGGGTTTAGGGTTTAGGGTTTACATCAACTGGGAGTTTGTCGGGCTGTAGGAGCTTTAGGATTGAGGGTTCCTAGGGTTTTTAGGGCTTAGGATTGAGGGTTTAGGAACTGAGGGTTTGGGGTTCCCTCTGACTTATTATATTATCGCAGAAAGTTTCGTCTGGGCTACCTTCAGAAACTTGGAGTTTACCCATAGTCTCCATTGTAGTTCCTTTTTTCGGGGTAACCATGACGGATTATAATAGGGTATCCCCAAAAAAGGAACTACAATGGAGACTATAGGTATGGTTTCGGTTTATCTGCCCCAAAGCGCTTAAGGCCGTAAGTCCCAAACGCGTTTGGGGTTTAGGGTTTAGGGTTTAGGCTGCGGATAGTTCAGATCCTAAACCCTGAGACCCTAACCCCTAAACCCGACACCCTAACCCCTTTACGGTCAGTGCTAGTTCAGATTCAGGCTCTTGTTTTGGGCAGAAGTTCGGGTTCGGCAGCCTCTTGCGCCCGGCAGCTTGTTTTGTCGTTTCCAGCTTTCGTAGTTCAGGTGTGTAGCGTTTTGGGTTTAGGGATTGAGGGTTCAGGATTCAGGCATTGGGGATGATTTCGAGTTGTTCGTCTGGCTGGCCATTCGGCTACATTGTCCTGGGCTGTACCCATTAGGCCGAGCGCGGGCGGCCTCGTCCCCAGCCCTTACAAACTCTGCTCCATCCCTCGGTTTACATCGTGAGCCGAAGCAGGACCTGAAGAGGCCCAGGCCCACTTGGACTTTTCCCCAACAGCGTGCGCTCTGGGGTCTTCAGCCGACTTAAGGTTTGGGGCAGATTGGGGCAAGGCCTGGGCGATCTCGGGGTTCAGGTTCGTTCCGGGTGAGTGGTTCTAAGGTTCTTCTGACGTGGTTTCGTGAGCCTTGCAAATCGCACACGCGAGTGACCCGAAAATCGTATTCAGAATGTTGTTGTTTAAAGTTTGGTTTCCAGGGCCGCAACATGTATTCTTCAATTCAAGGCTTGGTAAACGCATTTACAGCTCTTTCAGCTTTGCTGGTGTTCCTTGCCCCCGTCCCCGAACCCAAATCGAGCGCCCCGAGCCTTCGACCAAGCCCAAATGCATTTTCCCAGGCCTGCTAAGCGCATTTGACCGTGGTTTCAACAAATCTGGAGCTCAATGCCATCCCTACACCACGAAATTGGCACCGACAATGCTTGAATTCGCACCGACAAGGCTTGAATTCGCACCGACAATGCTTGAATTTGGTTGCCAGGGCCAAAATACATGTTTCAGCGCATCTGTTTCAGCTTTGCTGATGCACCTGGCCACACTTCCGAGGCTTGAACTGAGCCCCCGAAGCCACCGTTGAACGCGTTTGGGCTTTGTTTGCAGCAAATCTGGAGCTGAATGCCGTGCCTAAACCCGAAAAATCGTATTGCAACTGCTGTACTTTGGTTTCCAGGGCCCCAACATGCATTCGTCAAGGCTTGGCAAACGCGTTTACAGCTCTTTCAGCTTTGTCTCAAATCGAGCTCCCGAAGCCTTCGACCAAGCCCAAATGCATTTTCTAAGGCCCGCCAAACGCACTTGGGCTTTGTTTCAACAACTCTGTAGCCCAAGGCCGCCCCTAAACCCGAAAATCGTACTGCAAATGCTGCAGTTTGGTGTCCTGCCCCCCAATATGCATAGTTTGAGGCTTGGAAAACGCATTTAGATATAGAGCTGTTTCAGCTTTGCAGGTGCCCCGGGCCCCAATGTTCGAAACATAATCGAGCTCCCGTAAGTTATTGTCCTGATTCAGCAGCAATGTGCGCCCAACGACAGCCATTCCGGTGAAGCGCTGAGCGATATACTCTAATATAGGCGCTGAAATAGTCACTTTTTGTTTGAACACCCCCACACATTTTTCCGCAGCACGGCGCAGACACCCAACACCTCCGATATCAAAACCCCCGGTGTCGCTGTTTCTTGGGTTCTTTTACCAGGAGCTTTGAGCCGCGATCCAAAACCGTACAGGGCCAGAGCCGTTGGAACCCTTACCCTAAGGGTCCATGTACCCAAGTTGTATATACTGAGGCCCCAAAGTACCTATATAGGGACACTTTACGGCCAGATTAGGTACTACGTAGTTGTTTACATGGGCCCTTAAATTTATCTCCGAACTCCGAACAGCAGTAGGATGCAGAATGCAAAAACTCTAAACCCTAAACCCTAAACTCTAAACCCTAAACCCTAAGCCCTAAACCCTAAACCCTAAACCCTAAACCCAATTCTATGGGAGCCCTGACACCTCAGCCCTATCAGTCCTAAGACCTTAACACCCTGAAGCCGTGAGAACTAAAGAACCCTCAGCCCGAATCCTTCAACCGAAATAGCCCTAAACCCCAAAACCATTCAAAAACCTAAACCCTTCAAGACCCAACCGCATAGAGCCCTCAACGCCTTCAGCCCGCATCCCCATACCCTTATAGAACCCTTACCAAAATTTACGAATGAATCCTCACAGGAACCTTTAAATTGCAAGTGAGAGCCCGCCTAAACCCCTTGCCCTGAGGAATCCCGAGTGCTCTGAGGAGGAGGAATCCGAGGAGGAACCAGCGCCGAAGGCGCTGAACAGGTTTCGGCTTCTCAGGGTTCAGGGATTGGGGTTTTAGGGGTCTGGGATGAGGGTTGAGGGAATTTCGGCTTGGTTTAGGGGTTTTAGGGTTTGGGGATTAAGGGTTTAGGGTTTAGAAGGGCGTCTGCATTCAACGTGTTTACAGTGAGGCTCACTGCAGTGTTTAAGGGCGTATTACTGCCAGGGATACCCGTTAAGGGACTGTGTGGGAGCTGGTGGAATTTTGCAATTGTTGGCGGGGCGGATTGAGGTCCTACTTGTAGCCATGATATGGAAGTCAGAATAATCAGTACCAGTACCCCCTTAGACTTAGAGTCACATATTTATGCTATAATTTTCAGATAACCCTAGCCCAACTAATTATTAACGCCCCTGTATTTGCTTTCCGGCTTGTAGCATTCTGGTGCGGGCTTCTTGTTGAAGCGGTCGTGGGCTTTGTGGCTTCCTTTCAGGCTTACGGTAATCAGGGCTCCGTTTTTCGGTAGCTGACTTGTTTGAGGTCATGGGCTTTTGGCATCTTCTGAAGATCCTACTCACTGCATAAGGGTTCGATGTTTCTACAAGCCCTGAACCCTAAACTTCACCTACAGCGTTTGGATACAACAATGCAAGGCAAGGCAGCCAAAAAATAACTACAATGGATATTGTGTGTAAACTCTCAAAGCACCCCTGCACCCCAAACCCTGGACCCTTACAGGACCCCATTTAAACGGAACCTTATAAAGCCCCTTAGATTAGATCCCTGAACGGAAGGCACCTTAATTTTCTGAAAATGTAAACCAGTAAAGCCGGACAACAAACGAAACCCTAAACCCTAAATCCCTTAATCCCCTATAGCCCCTACCCCGCAAAACCCTAAACCCCGGACCCAAAACCGAAGAAAACTTGAATTTTCAAAGTACGAAGCGAGGCAAACGCCTCGGACTTCCGTCCGCCACCGCGCGCGGCGGCGCAGCGGGCGGAGGAGGGTGGGTTGGGCATCATGGTTTACTACCCGGAGAGCTTCCATACCCTTTAGGGTTTAGGGTCTTTCAAGTACGGAAGATACATCAAATCAAGAGATTCAGTCCCTTATAGTACAAGGCATGGTAATGTGAAACTAGGGGATATTGAGCTGTTGGTTTGGAGAGGTCTGAGCACGATAGCATGGTATCATATACACCAACATCCCTTTTGGAGTCCTTCAGATCTCTATATGACGACGAGGTGTTTATGTCGTGGCAGTGTCGAGGACGTTTGCCGGTTTGGTTGGGATTTCGTTATCTTGTCTGTTTGCAGGGTTTAGGGTTCAGGGTGTAGGGTTTTCAACGGCTCGAGGCTCAGAATAATTGGGTCAAATCCTGTTGCAAAGAGTTCGGTGATTGCGCGCTTGTACGGGGTGCTGCAAGGCGACATCAAGAGTGGTGTCGATTGGAAAGCGCAAGTATAGCCGTCGTAACTTGTACAGCAACTAGTCCGACATCTGCCAGCACAAGAGCTAGTGAGAGAGAGAGGGAGAGAGCGCACGAGCGAAGAGAGCAAGAGGGCCAACAACCTCGTCTTCGTCCGTGGAAGTCAGGTGCCCCCCCTAGGTATCACCCGTCACATCAAGCACCATACACTCGATATAGAACGCTCAAACCTAGTCGCTTTTTATTACAATACCTGGGAACCCGAACCCGAACCCTTGTTCTAAGAGCATTTGTATGCGCTCATTCAAGTGATACGAAAACGTAGCAGCCCTCCACTCCCTAACAATCCAGTACCTGGCAAGGAGAAAGAAGCCGAACAGCGCATGCGCGAGGAGCACCGGTCGAACTTTCACATGCCCACAGTTGTTCCGCTACCTTGGCAACTGGGGAATGGGGACTATAAGGGTCAGGTTTGGGGTTGTGCAGACGAGGGTCGAAGTTGCACAGTCAGGGCTAGGAGCAGTGGAGTATGCCCTGAACCCTAAACCCTAAACCCTTATGCACTCTGGGCTTCAGAAAACTCCACCCATCCTTACTTCCACAGTCCGAAGTCTTCGGAGCCAATAGAAGCCCACATGAAATGAACTCTTGTCGCCAGATGTCCTGCAGAAGGTTCATGCAGAGTAGTTAATGGTATGGCCGTGTCAACGCAGATGCTATATGTTCTTGCACCGTATTGGCCTGTAAAGTTCTCCCACAACAAAGTGTAAGACCTGCGAGTCTTTAGGACCCGAAATCACGTATCCTCCAGCATATCAGAGCCTGCAGCCTTGAAACATGCCCTCGTCCCTAAACTTCACCGACGCATTTGGCAGGAAGCCGCGCAGCGTCGACAAGAGTCTCTCGGCCAAATGCTGAGGGTCTGGGTGTGTTTGGGGAACAAGCTGCGAGTAGAAGGCTGGCTACGAAGGGTAGCTTTGGGGTTTAGGGTTTAGGGTTTAGTGTCTGCTCCTTCTTGCAGGTTCTGAGTTTCCAAGTCATTGATGAACTTGGGGGTAGGTCACCGACAAGAGATTCCAAACTGGGGGTGTTTCTGCATTTCGAAGATCAACGAAGTGGCATTCTGTTCCTTAGTGAAGGGGTCCGTTGCTCTTGTAACATCAAGGACCCGGGACGAGAGCCCTGGCATAACAAAGGGGTCGGAACGATTTAGACAAGCACTGGTGATAGGATTGTTACGGATTGTTTATATTCGCTACGATAAATATAATCCACTAAACTATCCATTATTAAGGCCCGTATGTTCGTGGGACATTTTGAACAAAGACCCCTAAACCCTAAACCATTTGACCGAAGATCCAAGCACAAAGGTCCGGCCCCAAGCGGTCCTAAGTCCAGACGCCCTTCAAAGCGCAGCTACCCCTAAGGATTCCTTTAGACCTGCCTTTATGTTTTCCTTGGGGGTGCTAGTAGAACCTAAGCCCTAAACCCTGCCAACCTAAGCTGTTGTTTCATACATGGGTTTGAGGATGTCCCTTCCGGAAGTTGTGTTGGAAAGCCCTCCACAGATATCTAAACTCTACTTCTTCACCAACTGCAGGGTCCCTATAAGCCCTTTATCAGGAAGTCGCTAGAACCCTACAACAAGAGAAGGACTCTCTGTACCAAATACACCCTAAGGGTCCAAAGGACCCAATAATCAGGTACTTAGGTTTCGGATAGTGGTTATATACGTAGGTTACTATTTGGGAGAGTATATGATTATGAGGTACTTGGACCCTTAGGGACAGGTGCAACCCATAAGCTTCAATATAGAGGATGGTATCCGTCAGGACCATAAATTCCAAATAGCCCCGGGATTCCAGGAAGCTTGCCGAACGGGCGGCAGAGCGAGCAGAAAAGACTTCGGGGAAGAAGGCAGGTCCACGGCTTTAGGCATTCAAAAATGCTCTTCCAAGCCCACAGGCACCCCTAAACCCTAAACCCTAAGGTCTGAACCAGGGGGGTGTTTTTGGATCTCGCAATCTACCACAGTCCTGCTATAAGGACCTTGAGCAAGATCCTAATCCCAAGCCCTAAACCCTGCATGCCTGCATGCATGTCTACCTATCAATCAATCTATCTATCTATCTGTCAGTCTATCTATCTGTTTATCTATCGATCCATTTGTCTATCTATCTATCTATCTATCTATTTATCTATCTATCTATCTATCTATCTATCCGTCTATCTATCTACCATCTATCCGTATGTGTACATATCTGTGAGCCACCAGCGCTAAACCCCCGAAATCTTTGTCGTAGTTGGGTGGCATTTTACATGTCCGTGGGTACTTACCCTCAATAAGGAAGAAAAGGCTGTAGGTTTGTAATATAGTATACTATACCAACCATAACCCCCGAGAGGACATGGCTGCTCTCCTCGAGAAGGTGGCTCAGCAAGGCCTCACAAGAGTCGGACGTAAGGGTTCATGGGTCTAGGGGTTTAGGGTTTACGGATTTAGGGTTTAAGGGTTTAGCGGTTTAGGGGTTAGGCTAGGGGTTTAGGGATTCAGGGTTTCAGGTTCCCAAGCCTCATATGTATGCAGCATTTCATAAGTGCTTTAACAGAGTCTTGACAAGGTTGCAGCAGAGCGGCCCCCAATAGCTAGGGTAGCGCTTTCCTATAGCCTCTCCGAGATTGTAAGGGGATGTTCGTGCCCATCTTTCACCAGTTTATTAGTATTTGGGTTTTGAAGCGGGGTGGTGAGGCTAAGGATTGAGACTGACTTCGGTGTGGGCTTGGCCTTTCGGCCCCTAGGTTTAGAGCTTCGAGGCTTGAAATCTGCAGGACTCAAGAAGGTTTCCCGTAGTCGAGCCTGAGAGGATCGGATGGGTGCGAAGATGCTTTAGTAAAATTTAGGGTTTTGGGTTTGGGGTTTAGGGGGTTTAGGGTTGCCTGGTTCGGGCCCGCAAAGTCTGCGCCAGGTGAAGGGAAGCTGTCCAACAAGGCCTGGCATTCTGTGGTTAATCCTGGGAGTCATGAGGGGACGATGGTGAGGAGGAGAAGGATGCTCCCCTTGTTGGTGACCTGGTGCTGCTGCTAACTGCGACGATGATTTTGTCAACGTAGCCCGTCACTGTTTCTTATACCTCGTGCATGACATGCATTTTTTAGGTTTAACATGGTCTGTCACGAACAGCCGAGCAGCCCTTCTGGCAGGAGCGCAGACTTTACGCCAAGCACCTTGAGAAGCAGAAGGAAGAGGCAGAGGAAGAGGTGGGAGATGGGACATGGGCGGGCAGGCTGTTGCAGCAATCGAAGAGCTTCCAAGCATGTCTGCAGGAATGAAGTGAGAACCCCCCCCCCCCATATGTAGTTGTGGTAGTGATCGTCGTCGTTGCTCTGGCTTCTTTGGCAATAACTGTTATATCTTTAGTAGCAAAATCAGTATCGTATCTGATGGTAGTAGTAGTCGTCGTCGTAGGGCGGTATGGAAAAGGAGGAGCAGCAGCGGCAGCTGCGTTGTGTCAGTTCCAGTTTGAAGTGGAGGGGTCATCTCGAGTTTTGCATCACTCGCCTGAACAGCACTCGTGACTGTACAACAGACACATGCAATTGCGTTTCTTGCCCCAGCACCCCACCCATCAAGAAGACAAGCAACACAACACGTGGAAACTCCTAATTGGGCTGACTCATAACAGCAACAGAAACCAACAGAAGATGTGTAGCCAAAGCAGCAGCAAGTATACATCAAGAAACCGAGCCCTCAAACCCTAAACCCCGAATCCTAAACCCCGGACCCTGACCTCAATCCTCTCACTGCTATACTGTTCGATTTTGAAAAGGTTTATTCAATGCTCCAAAACTAGCGAAAGATGTCAACCTAACTTAGACCCTACAATTCTTCGCAGGGTCGTTGAAAGCAACAGAAGCCTACTGAGAGACTTCGAGGAGGCCGCAGCGGCCAAGGCCACCATGGGTGCCGAGGCAGCACGACTCGAAGAGGTGCAACAAAGTTTGAAGAGAAATGGTCTTCCTGGGGGTTTAGGGTTTAGGGTTTAGTGTTTAGGGTTTAGGGTTGAGGGCGTCCCTTCGGAACTTTTTCGCGTCTATCGTGGCATCGGCATGTACAAATCTAAGGGGCTATCTAACTGAGGTTTTTCGGTCGGGGGCCTGAGGGGCTTGTAGTAGAAAGGCCCGACAGTATCCGTCCATGGAGCATGCTCGGGTTTGATACATCCGATACGTTTATTTAGTCGGCAGGGCTTAGATGCAATCTCAAAAAGCGTAAGTACCAGGCCACAGACACCAAACGTCAGAGTGAGAAGCAAAGCTGAACAGCCATAACCCCAAAACGCAAGTCCACGGAAAAGAGACCCAGTGTTCTCTCAACGATGCAACACGACAGGTTGGTTGCCGAAACCCGGTAGGTGAAAGCCACGAAGTTCCGTAAACCCGATCTCGTGAAGCCCCGAAGCCCCTCTAAGCCCGAAAGTAGCCCCTGAAACCTGAAACGCTTTGGGGATCCCCCCCCAATGCCGGCATGCATCCATCTCACCCCGACTTGCGATTAATGTAATTAGAGGCCTTAATATTTAGAATAGGGTTTTCGGTTTTATTATACTACAGTTACAAGCAGCGGAACCCCCCCCCCCCCAATATAATTATTTAGGCCCCGACGTTATGCCTTGCCACGCTGTGCTTCTTTTGCGATGAAGGAGCTGAGAGCTTTTGCAGTGTCGTTGCCGAGTGGCTTGGAGCCCACCAAGGGTGGGAAACCCAGAGGGCTTTAGTGAATGGAGCTTGGGGTTTAGCCTTCAGGATTTAGAGTTCAGGGTTTAGGGTTTAGAGTTTAGGGTTTAGGGTTTAGGGTTGAGAGTTTAATGTTTAGAGTTTAGGGTTTAGGGTTGAGGGATTAGAGCTTAGGGTTTAGGCTTGTGGGGTTTAGGGGTTAAGGGTTTGGGGTTTCAGGGAGCCCAGGATGATAGTTTCGATGTTAGGGCTTGCGGGGTGTTTGGGTTCGGGCTGAAGAGGTGGTCTTATTCAGGATTTAGGGTTTAGGGGTTTAGGGTTTAGGGTTTAGGGTTTGGTTTAAGATCGGGGCTGACTATCTGTCCTACTCCGTCTCCACAGGTCCAAGTCTAGTCCACGCTAAATTTTCGAGCAATGCCTGCACGAACTGATCAAAGTCAGGTGCCGTCGACCTACACCTGGAAGGCTTTTCCATCTCTGCAGGCGGGAAACGGGGCAGAAGCTGGGGACGAGCTTCAAACGCTTTGGGCAAGGACCTCAAGCCCACGCCTGGTACCTGTATGGGTACAGGTTCCCTTTAGGGTTCCTCTAAAGGGCTTAGTTAAGGATTCCTTAATGGGTATACTTACCCAAACCATAATATTGTAGTTCCCACCATGCAAAGCCGACTTTCCACTGTGTACGCACTTCGGAGCCAAAGGCTATTGCGAGTCTGACGCATGGGGCTGATTGTATAGAAGCCAACGCATTATAGTCATTTTCCTTAGGCGTCCTGAGTACAGTTCTACAACAGTATACCCCAAAACCCTCTTCTATGTCCATTTTACTATACTTCAGGATTTTATATCATACTTTTCTAGCATTATCGTATACCGTGTTACGTTATGTTCTATCTGATTACTTTGTGTTGAAAGCGGCCTTGCAAACTCGACTGCTGGAGAGTCGATGAGCCTCTTCTGTTGCCTCAGGGGGCCAGCGACTCTTCGACGACGCGGCGCTGAAGCTGGCGAAGGGCCGCAGAAGCCTGGCAAAATTCTGTATACCCATAGGCCCCATAGTAGCTCCTTTTTGGGATTACCTTATAGGATTCTAAATATGAGCCCCCAAAAGGAACTACTTTGGGGCCTATGGGTAGGTTTAGGGTTCAACCTTCACATCATTATCGCATCCAAGGGTCCGGGCAACGCGAGTATTCGCAGCGAGTCACGCGCCAGCAGCACAGTCGCAGCGCACAGAGTATACGAAAGAGCGCAAAGAGCTCCCTAAACCCCAAAACCCTAAACCCTAAACCCTAAACCCTAAACCCTAAACCCTAAACCCTAAACCCTGTGTCTCAAGCCAAGTGGGGTTTGCTTTGCCGCAGTTTGCCTCTCATAGGCAGGTCAAGGGCCGATGCAATGCAAGGACTCGTGCCTCGCGGATATCAGGGCCTGGTCAAGGAGGGGTTTAGGCTTCCTTTTACGGGTCCATGTGCTCATATAGTACATACATGGCCTTAGAAGAGTCCCTATGTAGGTATTTTCGGGCCGAAGTATAGCATACATGGGCCCTTAAGGGTCTCAGGGTTCTATGGAGGGATAATCTTATGGCTCCTGTTTGGCTCAGTGCAAGGAAGAGTCTACAAGTTCCATGCACTTTATAATTTCAAATTCGAGATTGTCCGGATATCCCATGAACCTCTAAACCCTACACCAAGGATATGGCCTCTTGGGCCCCAATGGTGCCGGCAAGACGACTTTGCCCCTTCGCTTGAAACAGACTGCCGTCCATTCCACAATTTAAGGTGTGGCCGCTCCAACATTGATGTCATACGTAGTTCGATCGAGTGCAGAGTAAGGGTTTTTTGGTAGAGGCGGCTTTCCTTGGAACAGGTATGTTGTAGTCTACCCCCCAAAAAAAATCCTAAAGCCCTAAACCCCGATCACTTTCAATCCATCCTAAAGCCCTAAACCGAAACCCTTGAAGTTCCTCAAGCCCGTAAGTTCCGAGAGCCCTCAACCCCAAACCCCAATCGCTCTGAAGCTATAACTCCCCGCCAAACCCTGAAGCCCGAACCTTCCTAGAACCCTAAACCCCAGAGCAAACCCTAAGCCCTACCTAAGGGTGCATGTGCCCAAACAGTTTATACTTTGGCCTTGGAGTAGTCCGTGTATGGGTAGTTTGAGGCCAATGTATCTACTATATGACTTAGGAGCCCAATAGGTAAACTTTAAACTTTTTTGGTATATTAAACCCCCTACTAAAATAAAAGTTTAAACTTTTTTGGGCCAGGGTACTGGGCAGCTAAGATGAGCACATGGACCCTTAGCGTAAAGTGATCGAAGGCTGAAGCACTTGGCGACCCGGAAGCTCCCTTTACCGGAGCGCTGGACCGTGACCTTGGTGCAGCAGGAGAGAAGGGCTGCAGGGCTGCGAAATCGGACTTTCTAAGGGATTCTACAAGGGTTTAGGGGGTTGAGGCTTTAGGGTTTAGGGGTTTGGGGCTTTAGGGTTTGCGGGTTTGGGGCTTACGGGCTTACGGGTGTAGGATTTCAGTGTTAAGCGTTTGGGGTTTAAGGTTCAGGTCTTGTGGGTGTAAGGTGTAGGAGTTAGGTGTGTTTTAGGGTGAGTTTGACGTCCTAAGCTGGGCCGTACAGTTTCGAGGGTTCAGGCTAGAAGGTGATTAGATTTGCCAGTAAACCCTAAACCCTATTTGTGTATGTTACGTTGGGAGGTTCTTCGGGGTTTGCAGCTCGTGGTTCCGGGTGTCCGGCAGTCTCAGTTTCCTTAAAGGTTCCAGGTACCGAATAATCTTCTACTTTTCAAAAAGGACTACCCTACAAAACTACTATCTTAAGCACAAATCGTGCCTCTGAGGGGGTCTAGGGTCTCAGTTGGAGTTTCAGCTTCTTTTGGCATTCAGGCATGTCGGGTGGGTGAAAGGGCTTCCAAACATCTGGATGCAAATTGCATCGGAGAGTGTCATAGAGCTTTAGAAGCATCTAGTCTGAATCTGCAAGGGATGATCGCTAAAGAGCCGCAGTCATACTGAGCTCTAACTTGGAACCTGCATGCGAAAGTCCTCACTCCCAGCGGCCGCCCAGTGGGTGTTGTACTCTTGAAATGGGCGTTTCCGAAAATTAGGGGTACCTTATTTTGGGGTCCTTATAATAGGGAACCTATTATTTAGGGGACTATATTAGGGTCCCCTATTTTCGGAAACCCCCAAATATCAGAATGGGTTTAGGAGCAGTTGAGAAGAGAGCTCTGCCCCAGCATGCCTCCTGCTACGGAAGCGGGGCCTACTTCGTCAATCATCAATGTAACATGTCAGCCAGAACTTGTTCGATTTCTTGATGCCCCTATCCCTGGGGCTCATATACACGACCACTATGAAAGTAGATCCCAAAAGCAAGCAGATGCTTTTCTGTGTGTCAGGAGGCTGAGGCCACAGAGCTGCACGTGCGGATCCCAGCGGCTTCGAGCTTCGGGCAGTTAGGGGATGCCAAGGGCTCAGTAATATAGGGTCCTTATAATAACTACCTATAATCTTTTGGGGGTTCCGTAGTATAACTTACTATAGTATAGCATGCCCCAAAACAATATTCTAAGACTTTGAATTGGGAGTTTGGGGGTTGACTTTTGCCGACAGCAATAGGCCTTCTGAGCCCTAAACCCTAAACCCCAAGCCCGGCTCTTCGAGGATCAGGCAAGTTAATGACAGCTGTAGATGAACAACCCGGTTTAGGGTTTAGGGTTTAGTGCAAAGTTGCCTTCGCCCGAGAATCCTGACAAGACCAAGCCCAAACCCTTGAATGAAGCCTCTAATCCTAAACCCTAGCAGCCCCTTCGTCGCTGAGCAGGTAACCTTTAACCTTCCGGGGTTTCGAAACTCCTACCATAATTGGACAGGTTAACCTTGTTTCGGCTAGGTACTGAGCCCCTAATAGCCCAAACTGCAACGAAAGCCCAGATGCCAAGGTGGTGGACGAGGTGCTCTCGGCTGACACGACGCGTCGCAACTTGCTGGCTTCCGAGGTGCTCGGGCTCAGACCTGACCCGATAAGATCTGCTGTTAACGGGTTCACATAGTGAAATGATACTAAGGAGCCCTGAAAGTAGATTATCCATAAGATCTGCTTTCTGAGGATTTGTGTAATCAGTCATAAGAAGGACCTCGAAAAGGGTCGGTTGTTGAGGGTTTGGGGAAACCATGTCTTCGGGTGTGTAGGTTTACCGGGTTCCGGGGTGGGGGCTGGGCTAGCAGTAGGGCATGTGTTGTTTAGCAGATTATGGGGAGGTGGGGGGCAGGAGTCTATCTGGTGTTTTAAACGTCGTTACCCGGGCTTTCTTGGCTACCCGGCTGAGGGTAACATGTGTTGCCTTATATACTCAAGCTGCGGTATTTGTCCGGGTGTTTGGGCTACATCTTACCATTCTGGTCTTGGGAGAGCAGGCTAGGAGGAGTCATGCTAGGGTGTCAGGGGTTTTCACATCAAGACTGATCGAGTGCAGAGAAAGCGCTTCTTTGATATCCTGCGCAAGGGCTGGTGCTAGAGTGGACCTTGAAGAGGGTGGAGCACAGAAGTTGCAAAAGCCGCCGGCCCTAAATGCCAAGCTCCTAGAAAACAGCTTTGCAAGAAGTCTGGTAAGAAGCATATACGAACCAACCCTAAACCCTAACCCCAAAACCAAACCTAGACCTTAAACCCCAAACCCTGAAGTAACTCCTAAACCCCGTAGCCCCCAAACCCTGAACTCTAAACCCTAAACCACCAAACACCAAACCCTAAAACCCTAAGCCCTAGACCCCCAAACACCAAACACTCAAGCCCTAAAGCCCTAAGCCCCAAACCCCCCAAACACCAAACACTCAAGTCCTAAAGCCCTTTATAAGCCCTAAACCCCCAAACACCAAACCCTAAAACACTAGAACCCTCAACCCCCAAAGCACCAAACCCTAAAACCCTAAACCCTAAACCCCAAACACCAAACACTCAAGTCCTAAAGCCCTTTATAAGCCCTAAACCCCCAAACACCAAAACCTAAAGCCCTAAACCCTAAACCCTAAACCCCCAAACCCCCCGCCTAAAATCCTACAGCGCAGGCTCGCCTCTTAGAGAAGCCCGGACCCGAGCTTCGGCCGGTTTTTTTGGGGCTTCACCGGGGGCTCTTTTGTAGGGTTTTTTTAGGGTTTAGGGTTTAGGACTGAGGATTTAGGGTTTATAGGGTTTAGGGTTTAGGATTTAGGGTTTAGGGTTTATAGGGTTTATAGGGTTTATAGGGTTTAGGGTTTATAGGGTTCATAGGGTTTAGGATTTAGGGTTTAGGGTTTAGGATTGAGGATTTAGGATTTATAGGGTTTAGGATTTAGGGTTTAGGGTTTTAGGGTTTAGGGGCTAGCTGCCATAGGTACTTGTAGGGTTCCTCTTAAGGATTTCTTTAAGGGTTTCATAGGATGGCTGCCATACATACTCTTGGGTTCCTCTAAGGATGGTATAAGTATAAGGGTTCCATAAAGGATTTAGAACCCCCGACCAGATTCTTGGATCTCAGACTACACACCCGAAATCCCAAACCCGGAACCCTGGATCCCGGATGCCGAAATCGGCCCCTTCCCAAGCTGGAGGGCCGAAACCAAAGTTGACGAACCGGAAGCCCTGAAACCGTAAACACTGAGACTTCAAGCACTAAGCCTAAGCCCTAATTGACCGCTAACCCCCCCCCCCCTAAATAACCACTAAACCCTGAAGCCACGACCGAAAGAAGCGTTCCAAGCGCAGCCTTACAAGGCTCGAGTCTTTCGGCGAAGGAGAGGAGGCGTCGGTTGCAAGACTCTGGGAGCGTGGAGTTGTCCTTGACGGGGTGTTTCAACCAAGTTAACACTATAAAGCCTAACAAACCCCGAACCAACCCTAAACCCTAAAACCCAAAACCCTAAATCATAAACCCTAAAACCCAAAATCTTAACCCTAACCCTAAAACCCTAAACCGCTCAACTCTGCTGTTCCGAAGCCTTCAACCGGGAGGACCACCACTGAAGAAGATCATTACAAGAGATATCATGTAGTGTTACCCTTACAGGAATCCTTATACCACCGCCTAAAGGAACCCTTAAACGACCTCTTATGTTGAGTCTTCTAGTATCCCACATAGTTTCCGGGTATCCTGGGCCCAAGAATTGTTGTGGTGCTGTAGAATCGTTAGTTTCTTCCTGGGCCTTCAAACCACTGCCGCTCTATTTGTTTGGCAAAAGATTGCAGGCGAACATTTTAAAAGCCTGATTGTTCAGGAATATTGTTCCTAAGGGTTCCTTATTATGAGTATAGTTCAGTATACCCGAAACCCTATTCTAATCATAGCCCTGCACTAGCAGCGAGGGCGTCCCTGTGCTCACCGTCGTTTCATCCCTTACATTTGAGCTTTGGTGTTTGGGATGATAGAGCGTGCGGTATGCAAGTGCCAGAGACCAGCTGGGTAGGCAGAAGAATTGCAGAAGCTCTGCGACGAGCTGAGCGCGGTTTGTGACGACCTGGAGGCACGGAGGGGCTACCAACGATGGCATCTTAAAATTGGGGCCGAAAAAGGTTTGATTCGTGGGTTGAGGTTCAGCAAGAAGATATGTTCAAGGATTTTTTAAATCAGATTCTCTGATGGAAGATGACTCAGCACCCAAGACCCCGACCCTAAACCATAAAGCCTGAACCCTAAACCCTGAACGGGTTTAGGGTTTAGGGATTCTAAGCCTCTGAGCCAACCCGAAAAGCCCTAACCCAGCCTTCGACGCACGGGTGAGCACTGAGCAGTCCAAGGCATAGTCTGAAGCTCCTGAAAGCAGTTGAAGGCCATAAAGCCCGGTTGCCACAAAGATCGAGCCGCTCTCAAATCTGAAGGCTGTTTCGGGCAAGGAAGCCTATGCCTTAAATCTATAAGGGCCTAACAGGTGCCTAAATCATTAGCAGTGGGGCCTGATTCATTACCAGCACTACTTTTGTAGTATCTATACCTCCAAATCACTACTCTATTTGTTCAGGTCTCTATACTATGCAAACTCCAATGAAAAAGACTCTTCAGACTGACAACCCCGCGAGCCTTGAGCCTTGGGATTGAGGGCCAGGTTGGGGGTGAAGAATAGCGTCCTTACTATCCCTGAAGACAGTAGACTCAGACCGTTCAATGTCGGAAGGGTATAAAGGGGGCGTTTTCCCAAGGGTCCTTTGGCCAGGTTTCAGATAGTTGCAGCGATAGGCCATAGAAGAGATCTCAACCCAAACCCGAAGCCCACAAACAAGTAAATCCGCAAGAAACGGTGAACTACAGCATATCTTGAGCTGGTCATGGCAGGCCATGGGCGCAGATGCCGCCGAGGCAAACATGGGAAGATTCATGAACTGCTATCTTGGGCCCCGAAGCTAAATAACAGATGTTTCTGGGATTTACGGCTTAGAGTTCATTGACCTTCAAGCCTTCATCTGCTGAGTGATACAACTGGTTCAGGGTTTAGGGTTTAGGGTCTACTCCGCGCAGAAGCGCAGACGGTATACTCACAGGCCACCCTGGGCCCTAAACACTAGACTCACTTAAGCCTGCACTCGCTACCCTGTCTCGTCATCCGTATTGGGTGTATTAAGGTCATCCAAGAGTCCCAAGATGGGTTGAGCAGTTTGGGAGGATGGTGCGGGGAGAACCAGTAGTAGCATTCCTCAAAGTTCCTTGTTCGAAGTATAGCCACAGGTACAGTCTAAGATACCCCCCCAAACCATCCTGACTATTCAGGCCCTTATGTTGATATACCCCGAAAACCCTTTCTGACTCTTCAGACCCTTCTGTGATTATACCCCCCCCCAACCCCATTCGGATGATTCAGACCCCTATGTTTCCCCCCCAAGACAAGCCATTCTGATTATTCCTGCTCTTATGTCATGTTCATCCGACACATCGCCAACTGCAACATGTTTGATTCCGTTCATTCTCCCAAAGCTCTTGAACCAACCACTAGCGCTCGAAGGTCCTATGCCTATACCACTCCCCTCCCCGCCATGCACGAACCCTACACACAAACGTAAACGAAGCACTAAGCCCCCAAAACCCCGAATCATTGAGACCTAAACCCTAAAAGCCTAAACCCTATTCCTTAAACCCTAAACCCCTAAACCCTAATCCCTGAGCCCTGAGATTCTAAAACCCTAAAACGTTGAACCCTGCACCCAAACCCTAAACCCTAAACCCTAAACCCTATTATAAACCCTAAACCCAAACCTTCCCTCGTCATCTCTCGGAGCAGGCTCGTGTGAGGAAGATCCTCTGCGGCCTTGGGTTTACGAGCGCTCCTAGGTCGCATGATTAGGGTTTAGGGTTTAGGGTTTAGGGATTAGGGTTTAGGGTTTAGGGTTCAGGGTTCAGGGTCCAGGGTTTAGGGTTCAGGGTTTAGGGTTTAGGGTCTAGGGTTCAGGGTCCAGGGTTTAGGG